CCCACTACATTTTACCTCTGGGAGCTCATCCATTTTCATGATTTCAAGTGTCCTTCTATACCCAAGACAAGTCCAAAGTCCTTAGTCCCTCTATCCTAATCATCTCCCAAGGTTCAGCCCCTCTCTATGCCCTTGCTCTCCCTGGGGCACCTTCCACCAGACCTGCCCCCATACAGACATAACCAACACACACCAAAAGCAATGGGTTAGGGCTCAAAAGACAGGAGACTGTTCAGCTTTGCTACAGAGTCACTTTGCACCAATTAGTGGCTTCTTCTCAGTGAACCTGTTCCCCTACTATACGATGTGGGCAATAATCCCTGCTCTATCCCATAGGATAATGTAATTAGCACTTGGAAAAAACACAATACAGAAGATTCTTCTTTTTGAGTTTCCCTCTTCTGCCCAACATTGCCATCTCTTGGCTCCCAGGAGAGCTCCAGGCTGCTTTCTTCAGGCTCCAAGAGCAGGGAGGCATCAAGTCCCGATGATTTCTTCAAAAATGTTTCTGGAGTTTGAATTTCCCTTTAACTTTTCAAGTTTATTAATTTATTTTGAGAGAGAATGAGTGTGAGCAGGAGAGGGCAGAGAGAGAATCTCAAGCAGGCTCTATGCTGTCAGCATGGAGCCGGATATGGGGCTCGATGCCATGAACTGTGAGATCATGACCTGAGCTGAAATCAGGAGTTGGACGCTCAACCGACCGAACCACCCAGGAGCCCCTGAACTTCCCTTTGAATTCCTACAATCACCCTCCAGGCCCTCAAACCTAGTTGGCTAGTTCCTGACTGAGCCAATCCACCTTGCACACCACCGAGCATCTCCACTCCCATCAGGTCACAGTCCTTACTGAGAATGCCTGCCAGATGCTGTATTACCCAGGCTACCCCCATTTGTGGCCCCCCTGGCTCTCTGCAACCTTTTCTTCCCTTAGCAAACCACTCAGCTGGACCACATGAATCTGAAGGGCTTCCTATTCTGGGCCTTTTCCTGGGCAGCTCATTTCCTGTTTCACTTTCCACCTACCTGAACTTTGCCCATCCTTATGTCCCAATTCCCTTCAAGGCTTTTCTGATGTCTAACAGACATCAGACATTTTCTGTTCTGACATTTCCTGTTAGTGTGTGTATGTGTCTACATAAACCCACATGGCTGGAATATCGCATGTTTCTTTTTACTTTTTTTAATTGTAGCAATAACTGCTCCTTTCCCCATCTGGTATTCCTTTTCTAAAACCAAACGCATTGGACTCGGGTCACAGAACCACCTGAGTCTGCATGCAGAGTAAATCTGGGTCCCCCTGAACTTCATGCAGTTTCCCTCAATGGTAACAGGAGTTTAGTAACACTTACCTCACAGATTTGTCACTGAGGATTAAAAGTGGTAACAAGTGAAAATACCAAGCAGTGTCTGAGACAAAAACAGAAATGGAAAAGATACTGGCTGAATTGTGGCCTTGGCTTTAATCTCAGCTTGTTGTAAGAAACAGCAATTATTTATGGTTCTCAAACTTTTAGGCAAAACTGAAATCTTAAGAGGTACTATTCACAACGTTGTTCAGTGTTTCTCATTTATAGCCCATACAGTATGTATGTTCTTCTCTGAAAAGAAACAATTTATTTCTTCTGATGAAGAAGTGTACTTCCTTTTATGTGACAATGGGACCTATATAACCTTGACTCCCATTTCTGCTTTTGGCTGCCAGGAATCTCAGAGCACGGTTTTATATTGTTGCAGATTTCTTCGCTAACCTGTGGGAGGCAGTGTGGGATGGAGAAAGAACAAGGACCCGGGGGTTGGAAGATGTGGACCAGGGCACCCTGGGTCCCTTCTTCCTCTGTCTGGATGAGCCTCCAGGTCTCTGTGACCCTTGGTCCCTTCACCTGTGCAAAGGGGATAAGAACGATGAGGATACCTATTTTACAGGACTGCTGTGAGAAAATGCATTAAAACCACTTCATAAATTACCCCAAAAATCCTATGAAAGTTGGTTATTAGCAGCACAGGTTCTTTCTTTTTTTTTATTTAATATTTTTGAGGGGGACGGGCAGAGACAGGGAGACACAGAATCTGAAGCAGGTTCCAGGCTCTGCGCTGTCAGCACAGAGCCTGACACGGGGCTCAAACTCACAGACTGCCAGATCATGACCTGAGCCGAAGTTGAATGTCTAACTGAGTAAGCCACCCAGCCACCCCATTCTTTTTCTTTTTTTTTTAACTTTTAAAATTTATTTATTATTTTTATTTTTTAAATGTTTCTTTTGGAGACACAGCATGAGCGAGGGAGAGGCAGAGAGGGAGACACAGAATCTGAAGCAGGCGCCAGGCCCCAAGCTGTCAGCACAGAGCCCGATGCAGGGCTCGAACTCATGAACCACAAGATCATGACCTAAGTCAAAGTTGAACACTTAACCAACTGAGCCTCCCAGGCGCCCCATTAATTTTTATTTTAGAGAGAGAGCCAGCGTTGAGTGAGGGGAGAGAGGCAGAGAGGGAGAGAGAATCTTAAACTGGCTCCACATTCAGGGTGGAGCCGGACTCAGGGGTCAATCCCCAGCCCCAGGATCAAGGCCTGAGCCAAAATCAAGAGACTGATGCTCAACCAACTGAGCCACCTTAGCAGCACAGGTTTTCTAACATGATTATTTCCCTTCCCCGCCTCCCAATATTTGCACCTTATCTTTTAAACTTTGTTCTAATCATTTTGCAGTTTTATTGTAACTGTGTCTCTTAATTTGCTGTGATCCTTTCAGGAAGTACACAGAGTACAAATAAATGACAAAATTATTTCTAGAGAGTATTCTCCCTGAGGGCAAGAAACATCCTTCATTTGTTTTGTATAATAACAATTTACAGTAGAAAAACATGTAGCTAGGGGTGCCTGGCTGGCCCAGTCCGTAGAGTGTTGACTCTTGGTCTTGGGGGTCATGAATTCGAGCCCCACATTGTAGAGATTACTTAAAAAAGAAAGAAAGAAAAACATGTAGCTACAGAAAGAACATTTAGCTCTCATTCCTATGCAAAAGCCAACGGAGGTACTTTGTACTGAATTGTTAAAATAAGCTGAACTGTGGGTCAGAGAATGATCCAGAAAGGGACTTTTTTTTTTGTTGGGCTTGTACTAATAATGACTGATGATCTAGTCATTCATTCCTTCTGTCATTTAGCAAAGCTTATTCTGATGCCTACCGTGGGTCAGGCACTCCTGGGACACTAGAAAAACAAAGGTGACTGACTTCACAGTGCCCACTCTGAGGGAGCTACTGGTGCAGGATGAAGGGTGTGTATGTAAAAACTAGTTTCCACCTGGGACAGACAAGGTAGGATGGGGGGTGGGTATTTGAGGACACACAGGATTTCTCTAGTCTGAAGAGGAAACAAGGATTCCAGGTAGAGGAAACATACAGGGTGGTCTCTTCAGGTAACCCCAAATGGTTCAGTTTCCTCGGAGAAGAAATGAGTTAGAGACTCAGAAACAAGCACAGGTCAAATTAAGAAGAGCCTTGCAGCCTCGAGGAGCCTCGATTTTATCTTGAAGGGGAGGGGGTCGTGTACTCGGTGAAAGATGCCGGCAGGCAGGAAGTGAGGGCTTTGGGACATCCCCACCATGACAGATCCAATTTGGCTCTTTAAAACGCAGCTCCGTATTACAAGTTGCAGTGTTTGATGATTACTCATCTTATGGAGACAGGACTTGGCTCTGCAGGCAGGACCATCTGCTGCTGGAGACATTCATAAACGGCCTGTATGAACATAGGCCAACTGGGATGCTGAGAAAGGGAGTCAAGTTCTGGACCAGGGTTGGACTAAGAGACCTCTAAAGTTTCTTCTAAATCTGCAATTCCGTGATTCTCATGCAAGCCCAGTAGCTGAACTGGTGCTGTGGGCTGGGATCTGCAGCTGGGGAGCTGCCCTGGGCAGCAAATGGGTTAAGGCTCAAGTAACTTTTATATATGAATTAATGTGTGGAGTTGGGAGCCAAAATCTGTTCCATTAATTTTTCCATCCATTCCAGGAGCAGTTAGGTACACACAGTAAAGTTTATTTTGGTGCATGGTATACTTCACTCCATTAAAAATAAATTAATCAGCAAATTCCTGCCTGGCTCAGCTCTGGTTTATGTAAATAGTGCCCAGCTGTAATGAGTTACAAGGTGTTATTATCTCACACACACAGAGGAGGCTTCACTCTAGAACTCTGCTTGCAACAAAAGCATCTTAAATAAACTCAGAGAAGGCGGTCTGATTTGTAATGTTTTCACAGAAGTGGGATATACCTCACCCATATAGAATTTCTTTATATGACTCATTTTATAGCAAGTTAAATGAAGGAAGTTTGATGGGGGAAGGAGGGGCAATATGGTTCCCCGCCCCCTTCCTTCAATGCAAAGAAAATCCCCCAAGAGATGACCCATACTCAGGGAGGAGGCAACTGACCCTCAAGAGCACAGACCAAGGTGGCTCTGTAGCACACGCTCTAGAAGTTAGGAAGGAGCTAGAAAGCTGGGCATGGGGTTGGGCCCTGGGATGGTACAACTAAGCCAGAAAAAAATATTCTCTTTGCCCCAGTATCTCACATAAAGGAGTAAAGAGAGGAAAAGACAGCATGTCCCTCACCCCATTCAATAGGGAAGTGACAAAGAGGCCTATGTTCTTGGGTCTTCTTTCCAAACAACTCAGGATGTGACAAGCCCCTTGGCCATCAGAAGCCTCCTGGATCCCAGAGGATGGAGCCTGGCAGGCTATGCCTTGGCCACAACAGTGACATCTCCATGAACTGGAGGCAAGAACAGCAGCAGAGATCCTCTTGACCCTCTCCCCATCCTGTCTCTGAGCTGGGTGATGCTCCTCAGCTTATGGCAAATGCCATCTCAGATAAGTTTCTAAAAAACCCTAGAATAAAGAGTCATTGCAGAGATATGTCTCTGTGTCTTTTAATGGCCAACTCAACCCCATGGCTCAAAACCAGAGGACAGAGTGTGGTTACCCGTCTTGACTCAGCAGCATTCCAAACTGCTCCTTTGCCATGGTGGGCCCTTGGTGGAAGTGTACCGTTTCTAACTTACCACCATCCCTCTGCAGCCTTTGGGAAAAGCTGTCAATCACATAGTTACTGGAGGGGATTAGGGGAGTGTGTGCTGGGGAGCTCTTGCTCAGGGCTTCTCTTGAGGGAGAGGATATCTCAGAAGAACTAAGGGTTCTCCCAGCACTGTACCCCACCAGATCAGGCTCCTGGGCATATTAAAAGGAAAATCAACACAAATGGGGCCAGATATTTGACAGATGCTGTTCAAAAGTCAGTTCAGGCCACTTTCTGCAGGGTTCTGGGCCAAACAAGCACCTCTCTCCTGGCAGTTCTTCAAAGCCAGCTGGCCAGCTGTTCAGAGGGACCAGTCCATCAAAGACCCTCGTCGTTATAAGTTGGGGAATGGGGCTTCAGGACACTCTGAGGATTCTTCTCCACTAGAGGGCGCCAGCTCACCTCCCCTGTCAGAAGCAGATCCTCCCCATTCATGGAGTCCAGGTACTGCATCTGCAACAGGGACAGCAAGAAACAGAGGGCAGGGACAAGGGCAGGACAGACATGAGACGGCAGAAGGAATCAGTCTTCCAATGGAGAGGATGGGGAGGGAGTTTGTGGGGGGTTCTGACAATACCAGCTCCCAGTCAGCAGGTCTCTGATCTTCCAGATTATTTCCTTAGAGAGGGTTGGGAGAAACTAATCACTGGGGAAGCTCACTGGGAAGGCTTTAGAGAATTCCCCATCATACCTCTAATAACCAAAACAGACACACAAGCCCTGACTTTCTGGACTGCAAGAACTTTTCAGGGAGGATGTATTGGGGGAGACATGTCCTTGGGATGTGTGCATGTGTAAGTTTATCTGTCCATTCAGGGTAGTGATGTTACTCAAAGTGAGCCAATTCCCTTCTCTGAGGTTTAAGTCTCCTTGTGTGAAAACAGGGAATAGTGACGTGTACCCCCATAGGACTCACGAAAAGATTAAATGCTTGTAACTGCTAGTCGCTGGAACTTTTTCTGGGGCCTTGACCACACGATTAGTGGGCCGCCATGCTTGCCAGTGGGCCCAGCTTCACCCACCATGACGACTGGCAGTTTCTCTGAGAGAAATGTGGAGAAGGGACAACTGTGATGGACAATGGGCGCAGCTTCAGGGAAGGTGAGGTTGGGCAGTTCCACAAGAAGCAGGTGATCTAATGAGAGGCCAAGTCTCAGGAGGTAAAAGTGGTCTCTGGGAGAATTACCTTCGCTGCTGCTAGTAAGGAGAACAGAGGGATGAGAAATGCTTTCAAAGGGACAGGCAAAATTTACAGTGGAAGCTGGATCACATCAGGAGTGAGCATTGTATTCAGAAAGCTGAGGCTCCACTGTGGGGTGAGAAGGCATTTGGGAGAAAAGGAGAAGGGATGGAAGTCCAGAGGCCTCATCTTAGGCTTTGGATCATCCTCCTCTTCCAAGAATTCCTCCATTCCTGTTGTTTCACCTTCAGGCTGCTGACCTTGAAACCTAACCTCAGTCTCTCACATATACCTCAGGTCTAGATTTCTATACATCATGCTGTCTTCCGGTGCAAGGAGAGCAACTGACCCATTATCTCCCCTAAAATACACTCCTCTTTCCAACAACTCCATTTCTATGCCTAATGCAGCCACTCTGCCCATCTTCAGCATTGAAAATCTCAACATAACCTCTGACTGGGTCTTGGGCTACCCACCAGACCAACCAGGATCATGGCACAGGACTAATCTGTTCAGGGCCCCTCCTGGTCTTTCCCGAGCTGCTAACTTATACTGAGTCTTGCCTGTCTTTGGCCTTTCACAGCCTTTGTTTCTACCCTGTATCACATCACAGACTGATTTATTCCAGGGTTAGCTTGTGCCTGACTGGCTTCCTCACCAAACCATAAGTTGGCTCGTGGGTAGGTCTGGGTCCTGTGAATCTCTGCTTTCTCAGGAGAGTGCCTGGCACAGCAGGTACTCAGAAGTTTTGTTGATACCACCGGGTCCCATGAAAGCTCCCTGCTTCCCTAAGTGCCCTATCACTGTTTTTCTATTGCCTGCCTCTCACTAGACAATATAGGATTTTTTCTAGAGGCACTGGTGTGGTAACTCCTTCTTTTAGGGCCCTCAGAGAGGTCCCAGCTGTGCCCTTGTTGTGGCCTCTGCCACAAGCCCACCATGGCAGATGGAAAAGCTGGGCTGGTCTCTCAAAAAAACACAGCATTTGCTTTGCCAGTTGCTACTTCTGTCTGACAGCGAGTCCAGTCAACAGTGAGTCTCAAGAGTTTTGTGTGGGTGGAGCCCTCTGGCCACAGTGCCTTCTTCCAGCTCTAGCAGATTTGAAGAATGGTCAAACAGAAGTCCTGGCTTCTGGGGTTCTCTACCCTCTGGGTCTGAAAAGCCCCACTGTGTGGTTTTTCCAGCCATCAACAAGCTGTTCCTGCTGGCTTCTACCCAAGAGCCAGGGCCTGGCCTTCCCATCCCTGGCTGTTGAAGGCTTAAAGGCTATGGACACAGGTGAATAAGGGAATAACTGTGGGGTGAGGCCCCTTCAGCTCCAGAGGCCAAGCCCATGAAGCAGAGATGTGACTCATGGGACAGCCTGAGCTGATGAGCCGTCTGGAGCAGCTAAGGCTTCTAGTGGCTACATGAATCACCAGCTTGGGGTTCTAGGCCAGCTGTGCAGGCTGACTCACTGGGAGACCCTGGAAAAGCCTCTATGTTCCTCTTCCTTGCCATTCAGCTCACTCGTCTATAAAGTATGGATTTCCCATCAATACAGGATCAAGGAGCAGAGAGATCAAGAGGTGAAGTAGCCATGGTTTCAAGAAAAACTATGTAGTGAAGCAGTCCTCACTCTGGAGTTTTCTCTTAGAAGCTCTGGTTTTAGGGAGCCCTGGGGGACCAGGGGGATGGGGAATGAAGTAGGAGGACGCTGTTTGATTATGGATAGCATTCAGTGGGCAGAGGCTTGAGGGTTTTTTATGGAATTCTGCCTGGAGCCCAGTCCTGCTAGAAATCAGAAACAGGAAACATGAACCTTGAAGTTTCAATGTGAGCACAGAGAGGGCTACAGTGGGCGACTGCACTGTACCCCATTCCCATATCCTACAGGACTATGCACACCCAGTGTCTCCCACTGCACTGGGCACACAGACAATCAAATGTGTAGTGAATGAATGCCTAAAAGTGTTTGAAAGCAGGAGATTACTCAGCGCCTCTTCTTCTTCTATCCCATTCCCTATCTCCTGCCTAGCTCATGGCTGGATACAGAGAAGCTGTTCTCTATCAGTGCCTGGTGTGGACATGATGTGGTCAGAATTCCCTCAGACTGGCCTCTGGGAACTCAACCTCTCATGATCCTCTGAAAGTCCAGCATCTACAGACCTCAGGAAGGACCTGCTTTCCATGAGCCTCTGGAAGAGGTATAGGGCTGCTCACCTGTTTCCTCACATACTCCACCAATAACTCAAGCTGTCGAGGATCTTCACATTTCTGGTTGAAGAAGGTTCTCCAGAGCGCAGCAGCTAGCCCATGGTCATCTGAAAGGATTCCCTGGAACACAGAAGACAACTGGTCTCCTGGGGACCATGGCAGAGCCACAATACAAAAGCTGGGACTATTGTAAACATAATGGCAAGCACCGCATTGGCTTGGAAGGACCTTACAGATACCACAAAAAGGCCTTGTGGACCTTATATACACCACAAGAAGGAACGGGGCAGCTACACAATAGAACTGGAAGAGGTCTTCAGAGAGCATCTGATCCAACCCTTTCATTTCATACAAAGGAAGGACACGGAATCCAGAGGGGCCAAGTGCCTGGCTAAGATTGATGCAGAGATGGGGTTTATGTCTGGTCGCCTTCCCAGGCTACAGTTCCTTCTACTCTCCTGCACTGTACTCGACCCAGCGATACCTGTGAAGCTAAGAAGAGAAACAGTGGCACATTGCTCCCACCACCGTCCATAAGGAACAGGCACAGAGTATTCTGAGGGGGTATTTCCCCCCAGAAACAGAGGTGGGAATACACTGCACCTTCTCTGCTAGTGCATGGACACATATGCAAGGCAGCCGGCTCTCCGGGGAAGGAAACCAGGCACCATGACCTCACTGTCACCCATCTCTGGGTTGGCCATGGCTTGTCCTGCCTCTCTTCAAGTAGAGGAACAGGCTCACTGTCATGGGCCACAGAGTGCATGCTCAGACACTGTGTGCATGTGTGCCTAACATTGTCCTTCCCAGCAGAGACAGGGGCTCTGTTGGGAAGTCCAAATATCAGAGACTAATCGGCACTTGGGCCATGGACTAGGGCCATTTACTAGTTTGGATCTCTAAGGGAAGGAGAGGGGAGGTTCCTGCTTCCTGGGGTGAGGGTGACTGAAGGGAAAGGCCCCAAGAAGTTGCTCTGTCCAGGTGCCAAGGTAATGTGGAACCAGACAAAGCACTGGCTGGGATTTACAAGTCATAAGGCTGGATCAAGTCCTGGCTCTGCTACTACGAAGCTCAGAGATGGTGGGCAATTCAATACACCTGAGTCTCAACTTGCTCCTCTATTAAACGGAGATGAAAATGCTTTCCCTACATACGGCATCTTTGCATTATGAAAGTGAGATCATGTAAAGGTACTCTGTTAAGTGTAGTACAGTCAGATACAAAGACCAGGAGCTTGCTTTGGCAGGCAGCTGTGGATATGGTTGAAACAACAGTGAGATCTAGGGATCAGACCACCTAGGTTCAAACAGCAGCTCTGTCACTTGATAGTTGTGTGGCCCTTCAAAAGCCAGCCCTTCCTGAGTCTCAGCTTCTCATAGCTGAACAAACACAGTAAGACCAAGCCCATAGCATTGTTGTGAGAATTTGGAGATAATGGCCATGAAAGGCTCTGTAAATGGCAAATCACTGCACAAAGACCCCAGATCGTGTATTGAATGTGATGCTGTGGACTGGTCTCTGGGACAGGGCAGCATATGAGGTCTGACTTCAGGCCTGCTGCCAGGAAGGGCCAAGTCTAGGATGGGGTGCTGACAGTTTGGTGGAAAAACATTCTACCGGTTCCAAATGCTCCCTGCTAAACACCCCTACAATTCCACAGCTTAAGAGACTGTGCTGGCACAATGGCTGAGTCAGGAGAACCAGCTTCTTCTGGCAGATGGGGACAGGGCCCAAGGACAAGCTCAGGCACATCACCATTCTCCAAGTTATTTGCTAACCCAACAGCCTGCCTGTGTCCACAGTGCCCTGGGCACATGCCAGAGTGCTGCTGGAAGCGACCTACATGTGCTACATGGGAAGGAACAGGCGTGAGAACAGGTGTCGTGAGGACTTAAGAGTATGAGCACAGAGCACAGGACAGTGAAAGCCCTGGGAGCCATGGCCTGCTGCAAACAGGCACCCTTGGCAGTGGGTGAGATGGTTGGGAAGGGGCAAGTCCATAATCAGTCAGAAAGAAAAGGATGACTCAGGACTCAGATTAACAGTGATAACAACCTGACTATTCCACGCTGTCAGAGTACCTTCACAAACCTGGCTCCTAATGCTTATGTATATTGAGAAGAACAGATACTATTATCCCCATTTGAAAGATAAGTACACAGAGGCTTAGAGGTTATCTAGCTAAATGGTGGTAGACTTAGGACCAGAACACACTTGTGAAGTCAAGGGATGGTGCCTGACTAACTGGTTAGGATGCAGTACCTGCACAGAGTGGGAGTGCAATGAAATTGGCTGAATAAATCAATAAACCCAACTTTAGCTTTCTTTCCACCAAACCAGCAGTAAGTCAGAGAGAAAGCAGGAAAGGAAAAAGGGTACTTGGCAGCCAAATATTAGTTTGCAGAGTAATCTTCCCACAATCTACTAGGGGCCTACTTATTTTGCCTCGCAACACAAAAAAGCAGCATCCTTCAGAGATTAAGAAACCTAGGCCTAGAGTAATTGAGAGGAAGCCTGTGGCTCGAAGGCCCTGGTTATGATTAAGGGTTTGGAATGGCAGTCTCACTCAGAGAAGACTGACTTGTGACACCACTATGTGCTTAGCATGATGCTGAGAACACAGTATCACAGCAAAATGGTCTCAGCCCGCAGGCAGCTTGCAATCTCGTTGAAGGGACAAAGCTAGTGCACATTAAACAGAAGCACAGGATCAAATCCTGGAGAATGAACAACTGCCAATCTGTATAGGGTGACTCCAATGTATACTCTGTACATGGTTGGCTCCTCATTATTCAGTCTTAGCTTCTAGGACACTCTATTTGAAATTAGATATTTGTTTGCTTGTTTACTTGTTTACTACCTGTCTCCCCATTAGAAGGTAAGCTCCAGTAGGAAAGAACCAGACCATGTTTGTTTTATTCACCAATACATTCCCAGTGCATCCCACATGGTAGGCATTTAATATGGACGGATAGATGATATTGAAATTCAGAGTAAACAAATACAGATCTAGAGAGGTCAGGGAAAGCTTTGTGGAGAAGGAGGCCTTAGAGAATAGAGAATATTTGGAGAGCTACAGGATATTCTAAGCAAGAGAGAATATATTAATTCACTGAACATTTACAGAAAGAGTATCTACAAGGCCTGATTCAGGCGTTGAATCAGGTCCTCAGGCCCAAAGCTGACAGACTTGGCTACTGCCCTCCATACCTAGTTGTCCAGGAGAGTCTCAGTCAGGCACAGACAGTCACAGCATGTCTGTGGGGCAGTGGGGCAAATGGCCTCACTTTGGAAAGGTTACACACTAGGAAACAATGGGAGATATCAGTGGATAGGTCACACTGACAGAAGGGTCCACTGACAGAAGGCTTGGAAATTCCATGGAGGAATTTGAACCTAACGGAGTAGCAAACAGGAAAGTTCCAAAAGTGGCCATTGTCAGGGCACAACCCAAGCAACATTCTAGGAAAAGGGTACTGTAGAACAGCACCGTCCAATGGAACTTTCTGTAATGATGGAAATGTTCTGTCCAGTAGAGCAGCCACCAGCCACATAAAGTTATTGAGCACCTGAAATGTAGCCAGTGGGACTGAATTTTCAATTTTATTTAAGGAATTTAAATCAAAATAGCTGCATGTGACTAGTCTTAGGACAGCTCTCGAGCCCATGACTTGCAGTGTGGTCTGCAGATGGCTGCACCATGTCACCTGCGGCTCGTCTGCCACGCAGAATCTCAGGCCTCACTCCAGACTTGCTGAGTCAGAATCTGTGTTTTACCTAGGTGATTTGTATGCACATTAAAATTACCTGGGCAACTTTCACAACAGATGCCCACCTAGAGCAGTTAAATTAGAACTTTTGGGAGATAGGGCCCAAACAATGGTATTTCTAAAAAGTGCCCCAGGTAATTAGTATATTTCCCAAACTTTCCCACTCTAAACAGTCACCTGGGGTGCTTGCTAAAATACCAGGCCTCACTCCTATTGAACCAGAACCTTCAGGGAGGTGCTCAAGAATTTGATTTGAAGAGCTCCCCAGGAGACTCTTGTGATCAGGCATGTCTATAAGATGGCTCTGCCCGGACGGACTGGGATAGGAGGGACAGAAAAGAGACACAATTCAGAACACCTTTATTAATATTGGTGAAAGGAATCAACTGAGCCATATGCAATAAAGAACTCAAAAAAATGCTAATAGTTATATTTCTTCAATTCTAAGTCTCATTCTTCTATACACTGTAAGCTTTCTGAAGTCAGAATGCAACTAATTTAACAATTAACGTGTAGGGGTGCCTGGATGGCTCAGTCACTTAAGCGTCTTACTTTAGCTCAGGTCATGATCTCATAGTTTGTGGGTTTGAGCCCTGTGTTGGGCTCTGTGCTGACAGCTCGGAGCCTGGAACTTGCTTCGGATTCTGTGTCTCCCTCTCTTTCTGCACCTCTCCCACTCACACACTGTCTTTCTCTCTCAAAAAAGAAATAAACATTAAAAAAAAAAACAAAAAAACAATGTGTAGATCTAAGCAGTTTTTCTCAACTCCCATCCCACTCCTGCAAGGCTCATGTTCAATCAATGTTATGTGTGGTAGGCTATGGTTCAATGTGTGGTATGCAATCTAAATTGCTCTCCGAAAACTGAAGATATCTGGCAGACTGAGAATCAAGATCCTAACCAAATCCCTTAATTTTTTTGTAAGCTTATTTCCTGGCTTTAATTATTATCTTCAGGCTGATGACACTTCCCCCAGCCTGAACTCTAGTTTCCTATTTTCATCCTTTATGCATTTTCTCCCTTCCTCATTCTTCCCCTACCACACGCCAAGTATCATGCTACTAGGCAGTAGAAATGCAAACACAGTAGAGACTGCCACTACCCAGAAGGAGTCCCCACCCAGCCAGGATGACAGTTAACACTAATGTAGCAAGTGGAGTCCAGGGAAGGTGGAAGGAACTGAGCCTAGGGCGGTTCCAGGCCTGTTTCCCAGAAGGGGTGATGCTTGCATTCAATCTGGAGGTCACCACAAAATGAGCATAAAAGCACGTTTTGTTAAATAGATGAGGTATGATGAATACTGGCAGTGCACATATAGGTGTTCATTACACCGTTCTTTCATCTTTTCGATGTGTTTGAAATTTCTGTAGTAACAGCTAGGGGGAAAAGATGAGACACATGCTCTAACATGGATGAAGCTTGAGGACATTACACTAAGTGAAGCAAGCCAGGAGCAAAAGAATAAAACCTGTATGATTCCACTAACATGAGGTACTCAAGAGTATTCAAATTCATAGAGACAGAAAGTAGGTGGTGGTGGTTCCTAGGGCCTGGGAGGAGGCTGAGGGAAGAGTAAAGGTTTTAAGGGGGACAGAGCTTCAGTTTGGGAAGATGGAAAAGTTCTGGAAACACATGGTGGTGACTGTTGCTCAACAATGTGAATGTACTTAAGGCCACTGACATGTGCACTTAAAAATGGTAAATTTGAAGGGCATCTGGGTGGCTCAGTCAGTTAAGCATCCGACTTTGGCTCAGGTCATGATCTCATAGGTTGTGGGTTCAAGCGCCACATCAGGCTCTGTGCTGACAGTTCAGAGCCTAGAGCCTGCTTCGGATTCTGTGTCTCCTTCTCCCTCTCTCTCAAAAATAAATAAACATTAAAAATTTTTTTTAAATGGTAAATTGGATGAGACAGATCTAAATGTTCTGACATGGATAGATGTCAAAGATACATTGTTCACTGAAAAAGGCAAGGTAGAGGATAGTGTATGTAGTGTAACTTCCATTTGTGTAAAGAAAATAAATATATATGTGCTTGTGCATGCAAAGGTAACGTCTGGCAGGACACCCAGTAAACTATTAACAAAGTTTTCCTCTGGGGCAGGGAATTGGGCAGGAGAGAATGGGGCCTTCTATTTTCTACTTCAACCACTTATGTACAGTTTTATGAGTTTCTGATGAGTATATATTGCTTTTATTTCATTTTTAAAATTATTTAAATGTATTATTTACTTTTGAGAGAGAGAAAGAACGTGAGCAGGAGTGAAAGAGGGAGTGAAAGAGAGGTAGACATAGAATCCAAAGGAGGTTCCAGGCTCTAAGCTGTCAGCACAGAGCCCGATGCAGGGCTCGAACTCATTAGCCGTGAGATCATGGCCCGAGCCAAAGTCGGTCGCTTTACCGACTGAGCCACCCAGGCACCCCTACAGATTGCTTTTATAATTAAAGTTAAAAGACTGTGTGATTTGTCTGGCAGACCATGCTGTTTACATGTGTGTGTCTTCCTGTCTCTGGTGGCACCTGGGGCCAAGAGAATGACTGATTTGCCTTTGTCGCTACATCCAGCACCTGACAAGGACTCAAGAAATGCTTCTAGTTGAATGATTTGACCATATTCTATAGTGCTTTCTTTCCCAAGCACTAGGCAAACTTCTGGGCAGAGTCATTCCTGTTGCCAAGTCAATGAAGATGAGGAAATAAATACCGAGCCATAATAGCGGGTAGTGAGTGATGATGTCCCCTTGAAGGTTTCCTCAGAGTTTCTCATCAAAAAAGTCTTTTGTTGGGGGAAGCCCATGTTCTGCTTAAGGCTTGGCAAATGACCTTACCTCATCATATCCCAAGATGGCTGCATAGAAATTGTTTGTCATAAGGATCATATTCTTCTTCAGGATATAAGAATTAACCTACAGAAACAAAATGACAAAAACAAAAGAATGAAAAAAGGGGAAAGAAACAAAAAATATGATTTTTGCCTCTTAACTATCATAGACTCTTAGTAGAACAAAGAGAGAAGGCCCCTAACAGAGCGAACTGCTAGTCCACCCTCATTTCCCTGATCTGTCTGGATTCTCCCCCTCCCCCATTTGACAGTTTCTTTTAGATTTTGATCCTAAATTACACAAATCAGTAAGTCACTTTAGTGAACTGAGCCACAGGTATGTGTCAGGCTTTTTGCTAGACCCTATGAACACAAAGTGTAAGAAATGTTTCTCAGCTGAAGGAGCAAACCGTCTAGTATGGGAAAACAGGTATGTAAAAAACAATTAAATTGCAGTATGTTACCTCAAATTCTATTCCAGAAGTGGTGAGCAATAGAGGAATTTTAGTACAAATGATCTCTGCTCTGGGAGCAGGGAAAGAGTTCTCCTGGAGGTAAGACTTACGTGGACCATGAAGGAGAGAGGATATTCTAGACAGAGGGAACATGGTGTGCCAAGGTGCAGAGGCAGGGAAGAAAATATTTGGGAAGTGCCAGGGAAGGCAAATGGGAAGAAACTGGAAAGGTATGGTGGAACCAGGTTAGGAAATGTCGAAGGGCTACTGAAAGGAGCCTGTGGTGGTGAAAGACAGAAGGAAGTTGTCAGAGGTGCAAAGAGGAGGGAGAGAGGCAGGACCAGGAGACAGGAGGAGAAAGGAGAGCCCCTGAGGCTATGCAGAGGAGAAGAGAACAAGTTGGGCTGAAGCAGCAAGGCTGTTAATCTTGAGAGACTGCTTTCAAATACAATTGCAGTGAGACCATTGACACCATGGAGGAACTACTCTCAGAGAACGGCCAGGTGGGCCCTCACCAAATGTCTTCAGTAGGGTCAAAACTCTGACCTCCAGACCTCTAGGAATATGCTTGAGCAGGGTCTCTGTTTCATTCCTTGCTGGGGCAGAGCAGAAAGCCTGGTGTAATGTGCAATAAGCACTGAGTATTTAAACTGACAGGTTTTAGAAACAGCCAAAAGTTATATGGAACTTTACATGGAGAGTAAGATTTATGGTTAACAATCCTGACCATTTACTGAGCAGCTGGTATGTGCCATGTGCTTTATGGACATCATCTCCTCTGACACTGGAACTCAGGTGGTAGATGTGCTATAGTCACATTTTCATGGACAAAGAAAACTGGGCCTAGAGCAGGTAAAGTGACTGGCCCAAGGTGCCACAGCAAATTAATAATAAAGCTGAGATGAGTATCCAGTCAGTTTGAATCCAAGTCCATGTGCTTATATTTCATCAGGTTCCTGCCTTCAGCAAGATGATTTTATTTTGGATCAAAAACCAAAGACTGATTGATTTAATCCTGTGGTTCATAACTGGTCTCTGAAGAAGAGCAGAAAGAAGTAGTGAAAGGACCTGGATTTAGTCAGAAAACCTGGGTTGAAGTTCTAATTCCGCTATATTCACAGGATGTGACGATCTTGGGCAAATCCAATAACCTTTCTGAGTCTATTTCCTTGCCTTTCGAACGCCCTGCACACATCGCTGGTTTAAATAGCAAGTGAATGAGCATGTATTCATTCATTAATTCAACAATGTATGCCGAAAGCCTCAGTAAGCTGTAAAGTGCTCTGCCAATGCAATGAATTATGAGTAATACCTTCTGGTTTATCTACAAAAACTAAAACCAGGGGCGCCTGGGTGGCGCAGTCGGTTAAGCGTCCGACTTCAACCAGGTCACGATCTCACGGTCCGTGAGTTCGAGCCCCGCGTCGGGCTCTGGGCTGATGGCTCAGAGCCTGGAGCCTGTTTCCGATTCTGTGTCTCCCTCTCTCTCTGCCCCTCGCCCGTTCATGCTCTGTCTCTCTCTGTCCCAAAAATAAATAAACGTTGAAAAAAAAAATTAAAAACTAAAACCAGTTCCAATAGTCAGGGATAATTTTCAAAAGGACGAGAGAATGGTGACACTCAAGACTGGAAACTGTGAGACTGGATGCAGCTGGTAGTACAATCCATGGCCTTTCCCTCCTACATTCAACCCAAGCCAAATCAGACCTCCAGCCTTCATGTTCCCAGAACTCTGTCCACACTCTTCCTCTGGATGCACAATATGGTTTAGAGTTGCTTATGTACCTGTTTCTCCCACTAGTCTGTGAGCTACTCAAGGGTCATAACAAACTCTGTCTGATTAACCTTGGCACCCTTGACACCTAGTCCAGGGCCTGGCCCAGAGCAGGGTTTAAGACTGGCAGGTGGATGACTGCATCCTTACCAGGGTCTGAGCGCCAAGCATAGTATGTTTTGTCCAATGACACCCTTTTGTTTCCCCTTTTTTGCTGCTTGAGTACCCTGCATGTTTCTGAAATTTCAAAAATATATACTGCCTAACTTCTTACACCATCTTCCAAAATGGGCTGAGGCGAAAGGAAGAGTCTAGAAACAAGCCAGAGCTAGAGTTCGTTCCTTCTGAAATATGAGGATGGGACTACAACCCACACCTGCTGATACCCATTTTGGAGCTCTCCCTACTCCCATACAAGTTATTCTCCTAATCGTGCAAGAAAAATCAGAGCCACCGACAGACGTCAGAGATGTCAAACACAAAGGCAAATCTCTCCGAGGCAAACATTCACTGAACCTGCTCAGCAGAACTGGTTTATGTGTTGCATCTAACTAGTGAGCTGTAGAGCTGGAAGGCCCTTCAGAGATCACCTAGCTCGATTCCTCTGAGGAAATAGTGAACTGGCACCCAAAAAGGGGTAGGCCACTTGTCTGAGGTCACACATAAAGTTAATGTCAGAGCCAGGATTAGAACCTGATTTCTAGATGAATGCTTTACCTATTTCACCATCTGTAGGGCATTTCCAGAGATCACCAACACATTAATCTGCAAACCTCAGTTTTCAGCAAGGTCCAGTTACATACATACATACACACTTTCTCCTCTTGGGATGCACCTGCATTCTGGCTGGCTATGACCCAGGAAGAATGGACAGCGGGACAAGAATTCCCTATTAGCAAGGCTCCAGCTACCTCCAGTCCCATATTCTAACTCCAGTGACCTGTATGTATGGGACCTCCAGTCCCATATTCTAACTCCAGTTGCCTCTCCCTCTCCCCTCTAACTGAGATGGCAAGCAGCCACAGCTAGGAATGGCTTTCAGATATCATCACCCAGGCTGGATTAGATCATGAAAAGGGCCCTTCCTGGAAGAGGGTGGAAGCTCGATCAGTGCAGACACATGATCTGCAGGCAACAGGTGAGGGTGAGTGAGAACAGCTTCCTGAACTACTGGACTCATCCCAAAGGGGCCTTTCTAGCCAGTCCAGCAGCTACAGGCAGGGAGCTGGATATTCCCTCCGGTGAACCTCTGTTGGGATTTTATTTCCTCACTGAAGCTTTTGTTTGTTGGTGTGCAGGTTCTGTGTCTCCACTGCCAGATGATTCTGTAGGGAGCGCCCTGCCCATGAATACACAGATGGGACAAACCAAATGAGAAACTCCTCCCAGATAGCATTGGGCTGTTCTCCTAGTAAACTCTTATCCTTTTCATAATGCTTTGCTTTTCATAAAAAACCCATACATACAGTACCACCACAAGGAAAAGGTTCCTTTTATATCAGTTACTCATATTTTCCCATTTATTTAAGCTATTAAAATTCATGCAGATATTTTATAAGCCATCAGGATTTGGTGACTGGTATTACTGAATGTTTAATAATAAACTAAACAGAAGAAATCAGAGGGTTAAATGATGACTGCAATTCCTGTAATGACTTAATTAAATTTTTATTGAGTACATAAACTATGATGTCATTTCTAGCCAACCATGGGTCTGCTTTCCCAGCATGTCACAGGGTGGGAGCACTCAATAGGAGGCGAGGCTAAATGAGCAGCAAGTCTCAGCTGAAATGGGGAGGGGAGCAAGGCTCATGTAACACACTCAATAAATTATCCGTTCATTTTTAAACAAAGTCCATGAGTTATAATATATTTGCCATGCACTTTTTATGACATAATAAAAATGTTACCTTAAGGATTACTTAACACATACTACAAATGTTATAGCAGAGGCAGGCACAAGGGGCAAAGAAAACAAACACGAGCAGGCCAGGGACGGGTCCTGGAGTTTACGTCCCAGGGGGAACAGCATAGTATATTAAAAAGGGAATGCCAAAAAGGGGGTGGGGAGATGCAAGAGTTCAGGGTTACTAATCAGCAGATTAATGAATGAGACAACCAACAGGGAACACAAGCAAAACAATAATGAATCTTGCAAGGCACATGTTTAATTAATATCGTATTCGCAAGGAGGAATATTAGCTTTAAAGACACGCCAGTTCATTTGAGGCCAATTCGCTGCCCTCTTTCCCCTTTTTGCTGTTGCTGCTCTTAAAGACGTTTATGTGACTGCTTAACAGAGGAACCAGATTATGTGGATGGAGGGAATGACGGAAGATCAGGTTTAAACTCCTCCATGAGCTCTACAAGGTTCTTTGTGATCTGGTTCTTGGTCATCTTTCCTGCCTCACCTCCTCCCACCTCCCCACTTTCGGCTGACTCTTCAGTCAGAGCAAACTATGTGCTACTTCCACAAATACGCCTTGCTCTCTTAAGCATATTGTTGCTGGCAATCTTTCTGCCTTCGTTATCTACTGGGATGCTAACTCCTTCTTATCCTCTAAGACATAGTTTATAAATTATACCTTCTGCAAAGCCTCCTCTCTCCTCAGTCTATGGTGCCACAAAAATTCCAGAAACAGGTCCCATTGCTCACTGTTTACCATGTGCCAAGAACCATGCAAAAAGCTCCAAGCATGCAAGCTCACTTAATCCTTCCCAATGACTAACTCTGTGAGACAGGTACTGTTACTATCCGCACTTTAGAGAAGAGGAAACTGACATTTCAGAAGCTAGGAAATAGTGGGTCAAAATCAGAACACAGAGCAGTCTGACTCCAATGCTATCTATGGTGAA